CAAAAGGAGCCCATTTATGAAGGAATAGCTGCCTTATCCTGCACTCAGCAAAATATGGCATCGCCACCCTAAATGTCCATATTAGCAATGGACCACTGCCCAACCTCTGCTGTTATAATCAAGGCAGTCAGGTCATTTAGCATATGATGTTCCTGACAGGAGCTGACATGCCCCATAAATAATTATATGCAATGGGAGGCACTGGCAAAATTCCTCCACTGGTGAGAGCTTTGGTTGCCCTCTTTGCCAGACCCATGACCATCCCCCACTCATAAAGCAGTGTAGATAATCTTCTCTGAGGCACCCCTCGAGACTCTCTCATACACCGTAACCTGGAACTCAGCTCACTGGGAGGACATGCTCTGGGCTGGTGGAGCAGGCAGGGTTCTAGGGCCTGGACTGGAAACTCTCTGTCATAGTTGCAACCTATTTGTGATGAATACTAACACCAGAAGGACCCAAACAAACACCATTTTGAATGGTCCATTTCTATTTAGCAATAGAAGCCTCTTTTGCCCTACCCATCTCATTAAAGGGATGATCTTTCATCACCTAACCCATAATAGACAATTCTGGACAATGGATAATTGTATCACCCTGAATCATCTCTTTAGGAACAACTAGGGCTCAGTAACATAAACAACTGATTTTCAAAAGTGGAAGAGTGAGTTGCCACTTGGGGGAACCTGCAGGTTCAGAAGCCTGGCCACCCATTAGTGCCTGCCAAAGGCTGAACTCAGCCTTCCACTGCATATCTTTAGGAAATGAGACCTCCAAAAAACACATGCCAGGGGAGATGCTGAGGGGTAATCTGCTTTAGATTTTCTAAGGCTGTAACCTATTCTGGGCCCCACCTAAAGGAGGCAGATTTGCAAGTGCCTCAGAAAATGGAGGCCATCAGGATACTCAGATTGGAAATGTGGTTTCTCTAAATATCAAATAGTCCAAAGAGTCTCTGGGCTTCCTTCTTAAAAACAGTAGGGTCAATAGTTTATTCTGGACTGTGTTTTTGCCTTCCACTGTGTTTCCCTAAACTTAACTGAGTAGGCTGAACACCACATTTTCATCGGGTTGATTTCCCACCCCTTTGTCCCTCACAGGCACCACTAACTATCAGATCTAGGACCTCTGCCACTGTGGTTTCATCTGACTTGGTCAACATTATATCACCAATGTTGTGGTGCCCATGCCATCAGTGCCCTAAGGAAGGGAAGACTCTTTCAGGTCTCTGCCCACTATAATGTGGCAATAAGAGGGAGAACTCAGGTAGCTGTGGACAAGGATGGTGAAGGTATATTGGACTCCTTTTAAAGTCAAAGCAAACTGCTTCTAACTAGCTTCAGCCAAAGAATAGAGAAACAAGCATTGGTGAGATCAATAACCCTGTACTACTCACCTGAGCCTAGGCTACAACACTGACGAGGCCAGGAACAGCTGCAGTAAATAGGCATGATGACTTTGTTCAACTCCCCTGGTTCACTGGAAGCTGCCAGGTGCCATCTGCCTTCCTCATGAGCAACATAGGGTCATTGTAAGGGGAGCTGGACTTAATGAAGTGCTCCAGCTCCCTTCTTTCCCATCACTAGAGAAGAGATATTCTGCAGCCCCTTGAGGACCCAATATTGTTTGGTGTTCACTATGTGGGATGATGGTGACAATTCCAGTGGTTTCCATTGGGTCCAGCCCCCACACAGTAGTACGAGTAAAGGATGATGAAAGTGTCTGCACAGATGCTGATTCCTGAAATTCCATAATATAGTTATCTCTTCCACATCTCAGCTTTCCCTGTTGAGGTTTCAATATATCTTGGGTTGGCATAAGAAATTAAATGAGAATTTTCCAGGAGTTTTGTAGAAGCCGCAGATAACACAAGAAGGCCAGCAGATGACACAGAAAAACTTTGAGACTCAGAAATGCATCAAATATATGCATAGTAGTGTATAATATCAACATATTTTATCTTTTAATACCATAAATATACACAACTCTTTAAAAGTTAAAATAAGTAATAAGTTGAAGTTTCATTTTTTAAATTTCTTTTTCATATAGTATTTTTACTTAACATTGACATATAGCCTACGACCAAATACTTAACCCAAATTTTACAATAAGGTACTGTAAACACCCCATAAAAGAAAAAGAAAAAATTCAGACTTCTTCTCTGGTAAAGGGAGAGCCAAAAAATTTTACTCAGATTTTCCAGATCATGGGGGCAACAGGCCCCTAATCTCCTCAAAGCGTAAGAGATAATAGTACTTTTCCTCCAGTGATCTGCCCTCTATGACTCCTTAGAATAGTCCATATAGAACATGAGGTTAATAGGATATCTTAGGTTTGGGGGAGGTTAAAGGGTCTTTAATACCCTTGTGCTAAATTTCCCTATACAGTTTTATCAGCATCCCCTAGGCTGGCCAACAGTTTTTTTTTTTTTAAACCAACTCTGTGTTTCAAGAGGCATACTCAAAGATCCCTCCAGGATCTCATTTTGTAGTGGGGTGGTGGGCTCTGTGACTACTACCCCCCCATTTTAGATGAAAGAAGAAGAGAGAATATGATAAGGCGATATAGGGGTCCAGAGGAATGGGATTGGGCTTGAACTAAAAACATAATCAGAAAAAGCAGGCCTAGAAAAGAAAAAGGGATGAAGTCAAAGGTACAAATGTGAAGATAATTAGAGGGAAAACCATTAAGGCAAGGGTTCTTAGCTTTTTTGTGTTGTGGATTCCTTTAGGAGACTGGTGAAGCCTCTGGACCCCTTCTCTGAATAAAGTTTTTAAATGCATAAAAAATAATACATAGTATTATAAAGGAAACCAATTATAATGAAATAGTTATCTATCATTTCATCCATCTAGTAATCAATCAATCATAACAAATCATGTTCATAGAACTCAGGTGAGGAACTCCTGAATTAAAGTGAGATGAACAAAAAAAGTGAGGAAGGTAATACGGGGAATAAGGTGCTTATTTAAAAGGAGTGCAAGATCTCAACTATTCAAAAAATAAAAATCAAGGGAAAGAGGAGCAGGGTGACAAAAAGTGCTATAAAATCAATAATCATGAAGAAATGGTAAGTTGTAAAGATAGAACAGATGAGGAAAAAAAGTGCAGATATCCATAAATGTATAAAAACTGAAATGAATAAATAAGTATTTATTCAGGTTTACAATGTTAAAGCTGAAAGGGATTTTAAAGACAATTTAAGCTAACTTATTGTTGGGAAGAGGAATGAGAAAGCCTGTGTTGGAATCCTGGTTTTCTAACTCCAGACCCAAAGAAAGTTAGTTTCCTGGTACCCTGTTTTTGATTAGGAGATTCCTGCAATGTTTGGAATGCTGAAGCTCAGTGAGACTATTGGGGGCGGGGGCGAGCGGGAGAAGCTCCAACCCCCACCTTGATAAATAAAATTTTGAAGGAGAGGGAAAAGGCCCAGAGGAATGAATGAATGAATGAATGAACGAACGAATGAACGACAATTATGTGCTGGGGAATGCGGAAAATAATTTAACAAGGCGTATGTTAAAAAACCGATCTGCTTCCTCTTTGCAATAAAAAAAAAGCAAGACAATCTGTTTTTATTCTGAATGATCTCCTTTACGTTCTCTTTAACTTCATGATCAATCATGGTAGCTATTATTCAGCCCTAGGTGGGATTTCCTTCCTTCCTCCTTCCCCCTTTCTCTTTTCCCCTCTCTCCCTTACCTCCTTTCCCTCTTTCCCTCCTTCCGATAAACAGCAAAGAAGAAAACCAATCCGGCAAAGAGACACAGTTGTTAGCATATATAAATTATCGGTCCAGACAGAGGATCACTCGGGAAGTAAAGGAAAGGCGCAAGTAATCTCATTACAAAGCAAAGATAGTATCTGCATATCAGGAGAGCCTTGCTGCAGGTCAAAAGTGACCGATCCAGCAATCTTGCCCCAGGGACCCAGAAATCCAGCTTTACCCTTCCCCCGCCTTAGTACCTAAGCAATGCGCCCAGTGGGAGAGACTTGCAGAATATCTGCAAGTAAAGGAGGTAAACTGCTCCTTTTCCTC